CCCCCCCCCCCGGCAACCAAGGGCCCTGCCCCACAAGATTATCAAGATCCACCCATCCCCTAGAGCGTTACAGACCTAGGTACCGACGTTATGTTATTTTTGGACAGCCCCTTTGTCGCCACTTCAATCAGGATACTTGGCGTATTTTAGAAACAGCACATCTGCAGTCATACTCTTGATAAGAAGTAGCACATAAGGCATCATTCATCCCATTTGCCCTTTCCAAATTATCCAAACACTTGTAGGTTTGTAATTTTCCAACATTATTGAATTTATTTTGAAGCTTATGTGACATTTTTCCCTCATTTTTGTAATGCTGATCTTTCAAAAATTTTAAAAAGTAGGTAATATCATTAGCTTTTCTTCACAAATTCAAGGGAGCAGTGCAGTATTAATGTTGTGAAATGAATTAAAAATTACAAGCTCCTGTGAGCAAGTTTACCAAAGAGAGGCTGGACTGTCTCAATCCTGTGGCTTGCAGATGCCTGGTTTGTGATAATTAGCTACGACAATTTTGCTCATTTAGTACATAGGTGAAGAAATTCATACGATTAATAGATAATTAATTTAAGAATGTTCTAGAAAGGATTTTTATTGCTTCAATTTTTTACTCAACCTGATATTTTCTCTGGCTGCGCAAAGGTTAAGATTTTATTTTTCCACGGCTGCTGAGCGATACTTCCTTAATCTAAGTGAGTGGTAGGAACAAAATAATAAGACTAGGAAAGTTTATAAACGGAAATTTTATTTCAGGATGTACCCGAAAAAGTCAAAGCTTTGAAAATAATGATATGATTTCTCACATCTTCTGATACAACATTAAGTAAAAATAAAAATGAGACCAAAATAAAGTTATTTTAAGCTAATAACAATAAACTTTCAATAATTATAATGAAACAACAGTAAGTTTATGAGCAAGAGTTTGCTTGAACAATATGACTTTGCAGGAACCATATAAAAAAAAAAAAAAAAAAATTGTTTAAAAACTATTAAAGCTTGGTGATGGATCAGAATGATCAGAAGACCAATAGCTGATCTTGAAGAGTGTGCATATTCTTCTATGGAGTAACAATAATTCTGAAATATCTGTTTAAATATCTTTGGTTGCTCTTGTGAGGCATTTGTAGACATTTTTTGGACAACTATCAGTGGGATTTCATCACATCTATTTATGCTTTTCTGATTGCACAGAATTCCTATCCTTTCCACAAAAGGAAACACGAGGGCCTGGAATAAATGCTTTTCAAAATTTAGGCGCTTGATCAGAAATTAAAAAGAGAGAGATAGGTGTGAGTAAAATTCTTATCAGTAATATTTAATTCACAAGTTTTAACTATCTTCCTTTACGCAAAAAGAATCGAAAGGCATGGAACACATTGGTTTAATTTATAGCTTTTGAAAAATACGTGACAAAATCCATTCTAGATGTGATGTTTCAATATATCCCCCCTACAGATTAATTTTGCAAACACAAAACTTAAAGGAATATCTAAAACGTCATTTTGTGTGAAGGAGTAATGAGAAAACTAATTTGAATATTTAAAAGCTTCTTCCGTATACAGATTGATTGCAATCCACAAGGGATTGATTGCTTTTCACAAGGGATTGACTGTAAAATTGTCAGTAATACTATATCCCAGCCTTGGGATAAAAAATTTACAAACTAAGAATATTTCTAGGAGGATGCTTGAAGTTGGGAGCCAATTTAAATCACTATCCTGCTTGGTACAGTAAACACAAACTGACAGTTAAGGTACAAAGAGTGAATGTCTTTTGAAGAAAATAAATTAATAAAAGGATTCAAAGGCACACTTTTTTAAGATAAAAACAACTTCTCAACTGCTGGGCAGACTTATTAACACGGAGTCTAAATGATTTATATGTCTTTTTTTATAAAAGAAAAAAGAAAATAGTTAAAAAGATAAATGTTGTTTGCAGGATACATATTTGACGGCAAAAGAGTGCTCTTTTTTACAAAGACCCCAGAATAAATCAGTCCTATGAAAAGAAAAAAAAAGACTGAGTGCACTGATTGGAGAGAAAGAAAACTTTCTATATCAGTAGGAAAAAAAAGAGGGTGCCCTTCTAGGAGAACCAGAAAGATCTACTAAAAATTGGGGCAGTAAGCTCAGTGGAAAGTTACAGAACACTAAAAGATAGTTAAAATTAAAAATATATTTGGTTATGTGATTCTGTTTATTTTACTATCGGTGCATATATGTAATTCTATTAGGTAGTTGATACCTACTTAGCTGCACGCAAATATTCAAAGCTAATTTCTAATATTTTCAGAAGATCCAAGAGTAATAATTATGTGCACAAGAGAAGAGGAGAGAAAACGCAAGAGAAAAGCAAATGGCACAGCACGAAAAAAAGAAAAAACTAGATTAATATTTGACAACAATGACGACTACTAGTGGTAAGTAGAGGCCTTCGCTCCTCAGCAAAATAAAAATGATGACTGATACTAGAAAAACAGCAAAAAAGTCTGTAGAATTACAGAGAGAGGATATCAAGGAAAATCGAGTCAATAAAAATAGTAGTGTGCAACACAAGAACAGTTATGAAATCAGCATGAAAGCTTTCAATTGAACAATAACGTAACAATTTTTTTTTTGATCACTGGGTTTAAAACAAATGGATAGATAAAAACTAAGAAAATAAATTACTTATAAAGTAAAACGATGAATGGAAAACAGGATGAAAAGGTGTGTATGATATTTAATGTATTGTACACATTTTTCTAAACTAAAAAAGGAGAAAAAATTTAAGGAGCTTTAGCATCGTCTCGGAAATTATTTATATATGTAATTATCGATCATTTAGTATTTTGGACAGTCAACCACAAGTGTAAAACAAGATCTGAGATCAGAAAAATATTAACCTCCCTGCACTTCTTCCAATAAACACAACTAACAACAGGGGAATGTTATAATTGTTATATATTCTTCAATACTGACTTAAATAACTGATGTCAGAACTTTTAATAACTATCAGTTGCATATGGAGGATAAAAATTGAAATTTTAAAAAGTTATTAAAATATGTAGCAATGCAAAAAGAAGATACTGCATTTTCTACCATTGCTATTACTTGAATGAAACTTCATGATAGAAAATTTTATTTAAGAAGCATGCATCATCCTTGAAAATATTAGTAATTGAAAATGGTTCTAGTTTGTTATATTCTACTTCACTTATTAATTAGAAGAAACTTGAAAAGTGCTGGAAACTATGATTATGAAAAAACACCAGAGTGCGATAGATTGATATTATTTCAAAATTTTCCGGAACAAAGTCTTTTGAACTTTCTCTGTAGAAGCTTTGTGTTGAATGAACTATGGGTGGCTAAATACTCTAAACTAACTTGGGTTGGTTACAGCTTGTCTAAGCTGTATACAGAGTTGTGCATAAACTTTCTAGCTGGTTGATGCTTAGGATTGCTTTAGGGTTGTGTCTACATGCCATTTTTGCAGGTGACTGTAGCCGATGATATGTAGGCCAGGCATGAAAGGACTGAATTTCAGCTTTCATACGACATCTAAAAACACATAAAACCTTGATAAGGTGTGCTTGAATTGAACTGTAATATGCTAGGAGTCAGTTTCGGCCGATGAAGCGGTAGCCAAGGTTCACAGAGGTATGTAGAGCTTTTTGTAGATGCACCACAGTTTCCTAGTCGTTATCAATCTGAAATTTTAGAAATAAACGGAATAAAGAAACAATTTATAATGAGCACACTTTAGAAATTATAGAGGAAGTAAGGGCTAAAGGACCGGGTTTCAGTTACAATACTGCATGCTTCCAGCTTTCCTGAATTATGTTCATCCTCCAATCCTTGATTCTTAACCTAAACCAGAATGAAATACAAATTGATTTTTGGAAAAAAAAGTTTAATATATTTATAGCTTTAAATGCGAGTTTAACAAATTACAAAAAAAAAAAAAAAAAAAAAAAAAAAAAAAATCAGTTTATTCTACACTTTTTTATCCAGAAAGAAGGAGAATCATAAAAATAAACGGTAATGAATTTGTACAATTAGGAAAATGAAAGCCAAGTTGCAAAGTTGATTTCAAAATTTTCAGGAGTGAGGGATGGCTCATAAGGAAGAAGGAGAATCATAAAAATAAACGGTAATGAATTTGTACAATTAGGAAAATGAAAGCCAGGTTGCACAGTCGATTTCAAAATTTTCAGGAGTGAAGGATGGCTCATAAGAAAGAAGGAGAATCATAAAAATAAACGGTAATGAATTTGTACAGTTAGGAAAATGAAAACCAAGTTGCACAGTCGATTTCAAAATTTTCAGGAGTGAAGGATGGCTCAATTTTTTGGATATCAGCCAAATTAGGTTTGCGTATTTCTGATACTGAATTGGAATCTTTGAGCCCAAGATTACCGTCAACTTTCATTGCAAACTATTACGCCCGTGAAGGGAATAAACATAGTACGCGTGCTTAATAAATCCATACCTTTAAGAACAAGTGTTGAGAGAGTTCGGTGGTTGTGGCTCGATCTTTGGGACAATGCTGCAAGCATAAATTGGCAAAACTGTGGCCCTCGTCACTCAAAGAATCTGGGACATGCGGAGTTTCGCCCATGCCGACTTTGAACATAATTTGATAATTCGAGTCATACTCCGCCCAGGGTCTTTGCCCAGATGCCATTTCTACAAGGACGCATCCCAGGGACCATATGTCAACAGCTCTACCGTGTCCTACAGTGTTGTTTTTGGTGAAAACTTCTGGTGCCATATAGGCTGTAAAAAGACAAAGGAAAAACATTGATATTCTATTTCCGAGTAACAGCCACACATCTTCTCTTTGAAATAAAATTGCGAGTTCCAGACACATTATCAGGATCGTCTGATAGAGCAATCAAACACTTATATTCCTCAGCAATTAGGCAATTACTCAATGAGATGTTCAAAATTCTGCTCTCCAAAATTTTGACACATCAGTTTCAGATGATGTTTCATTAATATATGAAGAATTTTTATTAAAACCTGCTTCAATTAATTTTTTTTATTTAATTTTTTTCAAATTTAAAGTATCTACCCCTGCTGTATGCTCGTCATGTAACTTGGAACCTTCTATTACTTCAGACGTATATTTCCTAGAAAACTTTGAAAATGAGTAGATTGGTAGAAAATCAATGGATCAGAAAATAGTTTTTAGAACATTGATCCATCAAAAATAAACTTCTGCCAGGACTGATCTATCAAAACTCAATCAATGAAACATCTACTCCTGGGAGTTAATCTACCAGAAACTGATGTCCACGATTCCTATGAAGTTTATTCATTGAGATTTTATTTCTGTAGAATTAATCCATCAGGAATGTTGAGACAATGATTCTTAATGAATCAGGGGATTTCTACAGTATGCTTTTCTGCCCCTTTTAAGATTATACACGGCTATCTTTCATAGAGATTTGAATCAATCTAATAGAGTTGAATCAATTGGACCACATTTTGAAATTAGGAACTACAATTAGTAGCTCAGTTACATATGTACTATTACCATTAGTTTTCCTATGCACATAAGTTTCTTTTACGGATGAGCCGGAAATTCTGGTTCCTAACTACAAAATACGGTCCAATTTATATTAATTTTTATTTATTTTACTTAATTCTGAAACAATGCATCTTGAGAACTGCAACAATTTTCAATGAAAACTGATATTTTTGACATACTAATATCAATTTGCTTAAAATTGGAAGTTGTATAGTCCATATTTAACATAGTTTAGGTTCAATGTATAGTGAACTAACAACATTTTATTAGGATGGAAGTGTGCGGATCCTACGCACATTTCACACTGCCTAATTTTCTCTCTTGTTTTAGTTTTTTGACAGAAAACAAAACTATTTAATGCATAGAAACGACTATATCGACGGTGTAAGTTGGCAATCACATAACTCATTTGCAGTGTCTGAAAGTCTCCGCCTCTATGTTATTTTTTTAAAAGAGAACAAATTGACATCATCCCTTGAAGTTTATGCAGAATTTTCTTCGCACAGAGAAGAAAAATCATGGCACTTTTGAAGAATTGCCGTTGAGTAGTTTTCCATTTAAGAACTAAAGTATGATACGAAGTCTGCGACATCGCAAACCGAGTTATGTGATTGCCGACTTACACCGTCGATATATGAGTTGACCCTTGAATAAGAAAATATATACATAGAATTCAAATTTTCAGTGTTGCTTAGTTTTCGATTTTAAAGATAAAACATAAGAGGAAATTAGGCAACTTCTGATGTTGGTAGGTATATATATATGAGTCGCTTTTATAGCGCTCTTTGGCGCTGTGCGACGCCTAATCGCCACAAAGCTCGGTCTTCCCACAGGTCGGTGATTCTGGGAAGTTGGCAAAATTGTTTATCCTCCATTGAACTTTATGTAAAATATTTAATCGATTCTTGGTGAGGCAGTGAAATCGATATTTTTAATGGATTTAAATAAAGGAAAAACAGTGTTGCAAACTTTCAAGAATCACCACTGATTAAATCTGTCAATTAATCATTAAATAATATCTTGCAGTTGGGACGTGGATTACTTAGTGATTCCACTCTGTACAATTTCCTGTCTATTGTACAGTAATTTGCAGTACTATTTCAATAGGAGTCTCTATGGCTAGCTATTGGACTCGTTTATAGAGGCAAAAAAAATGCAGAAACTTTACAAGAAAAATAGGATGGATTACTGACCTTGCGTTCCAACGAAGCCAATTAATTCCCCGGGAACAGTCAAATGTGCTTTCATTTTAGCAGCACTTCCAAAATCACCAAGCTTCAAACAACGCCCTTCTTTGGTTAGGAATATATTGGCACCTGAGGCAAAAAATAAATGAAGGGATAAATAAACAAACATACATTTTTTAAGTTGGAAATTTGGAGGGTGGTATGTGAAATATTTCTGGACTTAAAATAAAAAAATAGAGTCATTTGTGCAACCCACTGATTTTTTAAACTTTGTAGGTTGTGCTTGAATATCATTGGATTGTTAGGGGGAAACATAAGGAAATGGTTCTCAAACTGCATGAAATGTCTGATAGCCTGGAGCTTTTTGCCCCCTTCATAAAGTGGCAAAGCCTAAAAGCTTTAGACAGCTTACACGGCTGTGAAGGAAATAACCTTTTTTTGATTATTTTGAACAATAGATTAAAATATTCCACGAGAGAGTGTACGAAATTTTTTCGCCTAGAAACTTGATATCTAATATGTTTTGATACTGGCGCAAATCAATAAAAAAAAAAAAAATAGAAAAACTTGAAAAAATTCGGAGATAAAATAAAACAAATGGTATATTGAAAAAGTTGAGCTTATTACTTTTTATATCACGATGCACAATTCCATGCTGATGGAGAAAATCAACCCCTGCAACAAGCTGGCGCATATATCCTCGGATGATGGACTCTGGGAAACCACCTTCAATACTGGCAACTAAGTTTTCTAGAGTTCCTTCAGGACAGAGCTCCATGAAAATCAACATTTCTTCCTGAAAATTGAATCATAAAAGTTGACTTTTAAAACACTAGTAGAATGAAGAAGTGGTAATCTGCCTGAAACAATGCTCTGACAAAAATAATCACTAATTAAGGAAAATTAGCTAATCTTGGTAGATTCTTTTTTATTGCGCAATTTACCTGTAAGTTTTACATGATTCATTGTATGCATTTATCGTAAATTACATAAAAGAAATACAAAACAACTCTTTTTTATGTTACATATCTGTAGAAAAAAATAAATAAAAAAATAACTTTGAGTGTTTGACAAAATTTAAGAAAAACTTTAATGTTGGAACTGTAAAACAACATATGAATGGCTGATATAAAAGAGGCTAAAACATCAATAGTGCAGAAGAAATTTACAGGAAAGTTCATTTCAAGTTAGAAAATGTATTACTTATCTCTCTCAAAACATTTCTCTTCTACCTGCATAAAAAAAAAATCTACAAACAAAATGAAAATGCACACTACTTTTGTTTTTGACAATTTCGATGAGTTTATGTAATGCCACTGTAACGTACTTTGTGAATTTCAACACCATAGTAACGGACCAGATTTTCATGGTTGACTCGTTCAAAGATATTTAGCTCTTGGACCACTTTTGTGACAGCTTGGTGATCGTTGGGCTGAAGTTGAAGTTCTTTCATTGCTAAAAGCTCACCGTTATCATGATTGACAACAGTGTAAACTTTGCCAAATCTGCCTTGACCTAATAACACAAACCAAATATTTTAGGGCTTCTATCATGATCCATCCACACTCATTTCCTACAGAGTTCGTTACTTCTCAATAACTATATGAGCACTAACCAACTTCCCATTATTTGGAGCAGTAAGTTTTATGAGCCAAGTTTAACAAATACAATTTGAGTCTGTGGCCCATTTAATTATTTACAAACTAACTAAGAATTATCTAAAAATGTTACCATTTATGCCTTTTCTGCTTAAAAATACAAGATAAAAGGATAGAAACGTAAAAGGTAAGGCTAAAAAAAAGGAAGGAAACCTGAAAGGTCAACTGACACGCTTTCCAAAGAAGTTTTCCAAAAAAATTTCCAACATTTTTTTTATTATTTTCTATTTCTATTTTGTGTGTCAAGGGTTACTCTTAGAATTTTTGGTCTTCTATTATGAGGATGTATCCTTAACATTTTCAATAAAATATACACAAAAATTTAAAAAAAAAGTATGGAAACGCTGAGATGGTTACCAACATAATGTCACAGCTCATGCAGTGCTTTTGATAGTCCGTATGGAGGGGAATAAGTTTCTCTCCGATGATTTCATTTCACATTATGAAAAGTTTTTACAAAATGATACGTTTTGCGATTTTACATTTTGATGTTGCAGCGTCAGTTGCCCGACAACCTCAAGGAGAGGCATATGTGGCGTTAGGGTGTCGCAGAACGCCAGAGTGCGTTGTAGGAGCGACTTCATACATATTTACACTTTATGTTGTTACGATTTTGAAAATGCTAGATACACAATATGTAAACAATTTTTGACAGCACATATTTCTCTTGAATGTGATTTAAATGCTCTCAGTTTCGGGATCTATATAATTGCGATGCATGAAATGTTCAAAGTGAAGATTGAATTACTTACTAATTCAAAGCTCCCAAATAAAATAAAGTAGTATAAAGATGGGTTCAAATTGACAACTCCAGAGGGAAGAGAGGCGAAATAACAGGGGAACTGAGGAAATGAAAAGGAACTACGTTTTACCGATTTTGATCCCACGCTGCCAACTGAAGTTGATGGTATGGTACTTGACAAAGCTGTGAATATTGAGTGTGGAGTTGTAGGTTTCACAGACTTCTCCAATCCTGTTCTCATTTTTCAGTCTTTTTTCAATGGCACTATCAAGTGACTTAACTGCTGACTGAACTCTACCGCGACGTGACAGTGGCTCTGGGAAACAACAGAAAATAATAAAAGTGAACGAAGATGAAATCTAATTTTACGATGAAGTATCAAGGCTGATACGAGATTGAGTATGAACATTTCAGAGTTTAATTCTCAAATCAATACAAAAATTTACACTGATTTTTGAATTCCATAAATGTTATTTGTATTCCTGCAATAAAATCCATAAATTAAATTTTTTTTCCTTTTTTTTTCTATAAATTAAATATGATGAGTATCGATTGCAGAAGGTAACGATACCCGTTCAATTTTCTCTTGACTTCAAATAAAAGGAGAAACCCATTTTCCGAGAGAGAAGCTGAACTCTTAAAAGCTAATTAATTTTTGTCTTTTGAGAATTCAACACCCCCAATTGCTGCTAAAAATAGATTTTCCCTTTCTTTGGGAGGACACAAGAGAACACTTAAAATTATTGAAAAAAAACCAATTTCAAAATGTTTAATCTATTGCTATTATCAAAATCTCAATTTTATCAAAACATTCTGCAAATATACATTATAAAATTCTAACAGTTGGGAGACATTTGACCATTACAAAAGAGTTTGATACCCTCAAGGTTCAATCAAGGACTAGATTTATTTGGGTCGGTTGGTAAGATTTGTTCTGTCTTGCTATTTTTAAATTGCTGAAAAAATTGAGGAACATTTCTAGACAATGGCAGTGGTGTTCATGAATGGCGCAGACTTTGGGAAAAGATATGCTAAATTAATGAGTAATAAGTTGGGGTGTAAGTGAAGGATTAGCTTAATGAAAGGGTTTACTACCAACCACATCTATAAAATAATTACCAAAAGTAATTTCCGGAGACGGAGAGTTTTCACAGCTTTCGACAGATAACCTGAAACAAACATGGGCACATGAGGTAAAAGTGGTTAACTAACTACACGAAGCTAATGAGAAAAATTGAAGATAATTAAAACGAAGTGAATGTAAGACAATATATTCACAACTTCTGCTTGGAAAAGTTGAAACTTGGGGCAAATATTTTCTGTATAAATGACCTAACTTGACGTTGACTAAGTTTAAACATTTTAAAAAATATAATCACTCATGTCCGTTAAAAAGTTTGGGTTTTGGACTCGTTCCACCCGTTTACCATCCCACCATCATCAGAGACTCCCATGATCAGCCGAGCGGTGAACAGGCAAGACGCGTATGAAATCGAAACTTTTGACAAACAATGGTGATTATATATTTCAAAGCATACTTTATCATCTTGAAAAGTTCGTGAATTTTCCTCCCTCTACAATTATATTTTACAAAAAAAAAAAGAAAGAATGAGAGAGACAATGCGCAAAAACTGCAAAATTTCACCGGATAATGTAAATGTTCTTAGGTCTTTTATTTCAAATTTTTCAAACAATCCACAAAAATTTGACTCGGATATAATCTGCTAATTTCAGTTTATTGTTTTAGACAGACACATGGCATTATCCCTGTCTAGTCTAACTTAAAGGACCTCTGAAATACGACTGATAGCATTTACATTTAAATGAACACTCTTGGTCTTTTCACACAGGGCCGAGTTTTTGGATTTGATTTGCATCAAAGCCTTCATTTGTGATTTCTGTATATCATACCGTTTTTCATAACCGTTGATTGAGTGACTACCATCGTATCGCTGCCTGAATCGTGGAGTTCCTGCTGCCGGGAAAATTGGAGGAGTTGACGCTTGACTTCTTGGAGATGAGTTGAAGAGAAGTTTTTTGCATATATGAGGAGAATGGTTATCTTGCGTTCCAACGATATAATCGATGATATCTTCGACAGCTGCTTTGAAAGACTGCAATCAAAGAGAAAAACATTTTAGGTCAATGAGGCATCAACCAGAGTTGAAAGAGAAATACTAGTCAATCCTTAACTTCTGTTCTCTCACAAATGTATGATAAATTAGTGTTTTGAGAAAAACTAGTCATTGAACACCTAACTCTACTTGATAAGGCTCCAAACCTTTCAGTAATGAAATCAAACCACCAAAAACTAAAACACATGATTGAAAGTAAATATTAGGTATTTCCCTCATAAAGTTCAATATTTCTAAGCAAAGACTAGGATCAGAAGAGTACCTGAAATTTTTCATCAGACAGGTAATCAGTATGTTGAGGATCGCATGCTACGACAAGATAGTCCAGTCCCTGAGTCGCCCATTTTGGTTTCAGGCCTCTACCCTGTTCGCAACGCTCTTTGACGAAGTTGATCCATAAGTTGGCCAAACCAATTATACATTCCGAAAACTGAGTATGCATACAATTTGAGGTCATTCGAAAAACTTCTTTGTAATACTGCAACACACGAAAAAGCACAATGAAAAATAATTTAATACATCACTAGTTCATCAGTGTAGTCAGTAAAAGAGGTGCTTTCAAACAAACACATTGCCTCATTAAAGGAAAGAGAAAACAAAATCATGGCTAGAAAATGGATCGGAATTGTTTTATAGACAAACGGTAAATTGAAGTAAAGCACTATACAACATGTTTTCTCCTTAAAAGTCTGAGAGAAAAACGAATCACATGGCGGGAAGTTGAGAAATCAACTCTTAAACAAGCTGTGTTTACAATTAAAACTGGTTCAACAGCAAACAGAGAAATGACTAGGGCTGTGCGAGCCTGGTTTTTTGGATTCGAGCCGAGTTCGAGTATTTTTTCACTAAGTCGAGCCAAGTTCGAGCTTTTTCGAGCTTTGAAAATGACCCTCAAGCCGAGTCGAGCTCGAGTCGAGTTCGAGTAATTTTGAGTTTCAAAACTTGATTAAATCTATTTTCTACAACAAATAATTCCAAACAAGACTCATAATATGATTTTAATAATTATTGACGATGACACACTAGAAAGGATTTAAACTAAAATTACAAAATGTTCGGCAGTAAGAGCCCATTTATGCCCGCGATTCGTGTCGCCGGCGGCAGTTGTCGCCGCGACGTTTTTTGAAATCGCGCGATCCATATTTTTGTGGCCGCAGCACCTTTTTTCTGCCGCCGCGACACCGTTTTTCTGGAGCGCCAAAGGTCCAAAACACGTGCTCCTTTTCAGTATTTCAGTTTTCCAAGCGGCGGTCGCTGCCGCAGGTTGAAATTTGTCGCGCGCATAAATGCGCTCATATGACAAAGCCCATTTTATGCACGCGATTCGTGTCGCCGTGTTGCCGTGTTGCCGGCGGCAGTTGTCGCCGCGACTTTTTTTGGAATCGCGCGATCCATATTTTTGTCGCCGCGGCACCTTTTTTCTGCCGCCGCGACACCGTTTTTCTGGAGTGCAAAAGGTTCAAAACACGTGCTCGAGAAGTTCAATTCCAAGCGGCGGTCGCCGAATTTTGTGGCGCGCATAAATGCGCTCATATGACTCCGTGTAGTTACAAACCGCGGGCGGCAGGAAATTGCTGGGCGGTAGCGTGTTGGCGCTGCGGATGGTAGAAATTTGCCGACGAGACTCTGGTGTTATTCAATCGTAAAATGATGGCAAAACTAACAAAAGTTTAAGTATGATTGAAATATTTGGAAGTTGGACTCTTTCGGCGTTTCCGGCTCAAAAAAACTCGAAATACTCGAAAAAACTCGTGTTGTTGACACTCGAGCCGAGTTCGAGTACTCGCTCGAACCTAACCTAACTTTCGAGCCGAGTCGAGTACTCGATACTCGGCTCGACTCGACTCGAAATTCGAGTACTCGCACAGCCCTAGAAATGACACCATTCGTGCCATGTAACTTTCATTTGCTCTGTAGTAAATACTTGATAATACATCATTCAGAAGTTGATTTCGAACTATTCCTTCCTTGAATTGGTTTCTATGTAAGGCTTTCAAGAGTAAACATGTGATTTTTTTCCTGTTCAGTCCTTGCATAGCAGCCAACTGTCAATTTCATCAAATCTGCCTCTATGACCAAGTAAAGCAATGCTTTTGGTCCTCTGTACTTCTTGCTATTTTTGTTGATTAGAAAAAACCACTCTGCTAACAAAGCTAAAAGAAATTTAAAATCCATATGCTATCAAGCGTAATCATGATAGCATGGCCAAACACGTGAGAATTGGGGAAGACAAAGCACTTCCAGCCTCTTTTGTTCAGTTAAATAGGTATTTTGAACTTTTCAAAGCTTCGAAACTCGTTTCCCCTTAATATTTACTTTAGTGACACCTATTTCAAAGGCAATTCTTGGATCTTTCAACAGACCTCTTATGTTTCAAAGATAAATGAAACCATAGAATAACCTACCTCAAAAGCAAACTTGAACAATTGGTTGAGTACTTCTCGAATTCGAGAGCGCAAGGCACAATTTTCAATTTCGTCCAGGGAACTAGGAATAACGCAGGAATTTTCTATTTGCTTCACTACATATTTTATTGTCACGCATAGAGTGCACGTTTCTTGCTGAAATCAGAAAAGAATATGGATGTCAGAAATATTTTAAAAAAATGAAAACGTAATGACAACTACAATTTGAAGGATAAAATACCTCAGAGACACACCACAAATATAAGACTTTGCCTGGACAGGTAGATTTGTTTTGGATTTTAGCCAAAGTGGTTCTGCAAACAGAGTACAGTCAGTTCAACAAAATAATTTAGGCTTGATTGAAACTAATTGCATGAAGCAAAAATTAAGGCTGTCAAATAACTGCACACAAGTTCGCCAGAAGTTTGTTGAAGTTGTTCAACCAAAGTTATTTCTTGGAAATTAGGAATATTTACGTATTGGTGGCGAAGAAAAATAACAAATGACTCTTCAAAAACAAAGCAAATCATACAAAAAAGATGTTATGTTTCAAATTTTGCACATTTTTGCCATTGAAAGCTAATGTAGCATAATGTTGCAACTAAGCGTATTATTTGACATGTTCCTGATGAACATTTTACATTTTATAAGTTTTCACTGCTGAATTGGCTGGTAGAAACTGGTCACCAAGAAATTTATAATCTTATCTTTTATCTTCAGGAGTAGTTTCAGTAGCCAGTATTACTAACGGGGCATTGAGTAAAGTCAGCCGATACTTTTTTAGATTTATTAAGAGTTTTGATCAAAATTTAATGTAAGTAAAATAAATTAAAACAAAGACAAACAGAACATGAAAAAATTAATGAAAAACTGGAAACTGCAATTACAAACAAATTAATCAATATGATCAATATACTGAGAAATGACCCGTCGATACTTGACATACTTAAAACAATGGATTCCTGAATTGTAGGGCCCAGGCAATTCTACCAACCAACAACACTCCAATCAACATATTATTTATTTATATTACTGTCAATTGTCATCATTAAATTTTTGGTGAATTTCAAATGTTTTCAAGATTTTTACTAAAATTAGATTAAACTAACTTTACTAAACTTAGATATTCAATGACTGCTTACCTTCAATTGAACAAGGGCATCTGTAATCACATTGTAGTGTAGAGAAAGTCTGGTGTTTTCTTGATCAACATTTTCGAGGTCTTTGCGTAGAATTTTCACAAGACATATGGAGCGTAATGCTCTTTCTCGCGTTATGCCAACTAAAGACTGAACTGCTCTGAGCGCTCGGAACATTTCATGCCTGTAATCAAAATACATAAAAGTTATCTACTTTTAGCTCACAGCAGGACAAATTTCAATGGCAAACACAAATTGTAAATGTTAAAAATCGACTACATACTCTATTATCCTAAAATTAGAAATATTGGCTCCTGCAAGAGGGGAGAGACAAAATTTCCAATCCCTCACTTCAGGATAGGCAAGCAGCTTTTACATCTACCATTTAAAAAATTTTAAAAAAAATTCCACTCTGTTCCAAGACTGATACTTAGATTATAGCCATTTCAGGTTTGCTAGCCATAAATCTAGTTTGCAAACATCTAAGGACACAATGAAACGAAAAATGAGCCAAAAATGAAAATCCTTCTTGAATTGCATGGCGACTTGAGCATTAATGATAAATTTATTCAAAGCCGTTTCACTCATAAGGTGTCAACCACAGTTGATAATGAAACACTTAAGTGTCAAGCTACCAACAAGTAGTGGTAGTGCTTCATGTATATTTTTAGTAATAAGTAAATCTTACTTTATTTCTGATGGACCGGCATTTTTCAGCTTGCTGACCAATTCATCCACACTGGAGCGAAAAAGGTTGTCAATTCCTTGGAAAATTGTTCGAGCGACAAGGCTGTAAAGAGAACGGAAGAACAAAACATTTTACACACTGACTAGAATAATGAAAAGTCTGACATCACTTACAAAAAAGACATACATCTACCTTTCTCGTTCAAAACATATAGCACAACAGGTCTTCTACACTGATTTTCTTTGCTTTAATTTCCTCAAAACTTAGACTACATTTTTCACAGTTTCTCCATTCTGAACTTGGATTTTTCGTTTTTCTGGTAGGTTTTTATTCCACTTAAACAAGTTTATTACATATCACTGAACTCACTTGCGCTTAGATTTTGTAACAGGTAGACGCATTTTACTGGCTTGCACTCCGACATCCTTAGCATGCCCCATTACATTAAATGTGCATAATGTACATTTTTAGAACTATTGCTTGTGCGGATCTCAGAAAAATGTATTCTTATTTCACTTTCAAAAGAAAGATCGTAGAGAATTAATTGCTGAGGGAAGGGCGGGTTGAAGTCATAATTTTGCATTTTGAATGCTTTTCATAGATTTTTGAGAGTATTAGAAATTAAGAACTTTGATAGAATTATTGTAAACGTAAACTGCTGACAGCAATTCAAAATAAAGTGGTGATTCTTAAGATGAGTCTAACAGGGATGTTATTAAAAATATACTAAATAAAATGAAAAAAGAAAATTCTTACCAAAAACTACTGCCCACCAGGGCTAAACCACCAGGAATGTGAGGAGAGATATTTTTGGCAAAACCCCATTCTTCTTCCAGAACATTCTTCCAGACCTGCTCTTGTTGAATCATAGACACCCACTGATACAAATATTTTAAATAGATCTGGAATAAAAAATGAATTTAGATGATATTGTAATTTAAATAAAAAAAAAAAAAAAAAACTCCAACTCTTCAGAAATAGAATGATGAGTCAGTCAAAGTGCAGACTACATGCAATAAATTAGGCAATGTAACAGAATTAATGATTGGATTCTTAAAAAAATGAAACTTACCTCTAAGACATTCTGCGTTGTTTGGTCAAACGAGTCTATGTAGGAGTCGACCTTAACATCTGGGGGAGCACCTCGGGTGGCTGCCTCAAACTGCTCCAAGTAATGTTTCCGAACGGTTACAGCGAGCCTCAAACCTTCTTTCAATTCACAGATTAACTAAACAGAAATGAGGAGGGAAAATGAAATCGGCTGAAAATAATAGAAAAGAGGAGGAGGTAGAACTAAAAAATTAAAATGCTCCTTGCGCAGAATATAAAAAAAAAAAAAAAAAAAAAAAAAAAAAAAAAAAAAAAAAAAAAAATAGGAAAAGCGAATTTTACATTACTTGCATATTTTCTGTACTCAATTCATTAAATTTTGAGAAAAGTTTGAAAAAGATGTAAACAAGAAAATAAATGGAGGAACAAAAGGGAATCAGAAACCTTAAACTTGGAAATGCTATATTTTAGAATGTTAGATGATATTTAGAATCTTCTTGGTTATATTATTACAGTGATTTTGACCAGAAGAAGTGAATGAAATTAAAAGTTAACAAAAAATCGAATAAAATCTATACTTTCATTTTTTTAAAAGCTACCAGTCCAGTAAAAAATGGTTGCAAAAACGTGGCCGCAACGTTATTGCTAAAACTAATATGACAACATTTTAGTAACATTAGTTTTGGCAGTTGCAAGGTCGAGGAGACAGTTGGACATGCCCTTAAATGCTTAGAGGCGCAAGTCACTGACGAGTGATTATGAGAAAATTTTGGTTTACACAACTAAAAGAAAATCAAATACACTACAATAAACAAAAAAAAAAGAGTAGAATTTTGAGCTCATACCTGGCGAATACTCAACAAACTAGGTTTTTCCGGTCTCATATTAAGCCTCATCAACAGAAAAGTGTGTATCACGCACAATGGGATTCGGGCGATAAATAAGAAACAAGAACGGTATCCAGGTAGGCATAATGATTGGGCTTCTTCACTGCACATACCGTGTCTTTTCAGTTCAAGCTCTTCACTAATATCACAGTTGTCGCTGGTGTTCTCAATTTTTTCCCACTCCTAGTTCAAATGAAACAAACGGACATAAATTAACAGAAAGAAGGGATTATTCCTTTTTTACAGAAATATGAAATGGAATTCTGTGGTTGATTTCTCATAATAAGTCAGGAATACAGGTTATAAAATAAAAATGAATTTGAAAATGAACTTTTTTGTCTAATTTTTGGTTTTAAATTTATCTTGAAATTTTCGTCATTTCGTCCTCATTTTTCAGAAGCTAAAAAATCACTTGAGTATTTTTATTTTTAAACTTTACTTTCTTGATGTTCTTTTGCTTACCTCAAATGGTATTATTGACCTGTACCAAGCTCCAAAAAGGAGATTGTATTAAAAATAAAATAATTGAATCAACCTACCTCTTCGGTTAATTCCATTAGAGACCATTTAATTTTTTGCAAAACAGTATTTTCTAATTTTTCGATGAAATTAAATGCTCTTTTGATTCCTTTGGTTTTTAAGTTGTTCTTGATGTACTTCCTGGGGGGGAAAAACATACAAAAGTGATAAATAAGCTTTAAAAAAATCTTCAAATTTGCCAGGTATAAGATGAGAATTTTTTTGAAGGAATGCTTTCCTCATTTCGAAAATTGCCATGGACTCAAAAAAGGATCTTAAGAAAAATCGAAGGAACATTTTATCTAGAAACGAAAGTTGAGAAAGAGGGTCTTAAACATGTGCTCTTTCATTTTAGCCATTTTTGGCTTTATTTAGGCACACACATCAGGACATAAAAATTAGATTTTTGCTAAATTAGAGAGACCTATATTATCCTATATATTAAAATGCAAAGTCCCGAATCTTGGGGCATTAACTTTGAGAGAACCACCGGACCGATTTGCATGGGATTTTTTTTAAATGAAAGCCCCTGAGCTGTAGATTTGCAGGCTGTGATCGTTTTTTTGATTTTCTCAAATTTTCTCCCATAATTTTCTAAAATTGTCTTCGATGCATTAAAACGGAGGTCCGAATCTTTGGACGTTAACTTTGAGAGAACCACCGGACCGATTTGCATG